AAGCATTATTCCAAGTATTTTACGGTTCAACAATTTCAAATAATTTGGACGGGTTCGGGAAATCCATTAAGCTCAAACCACTACCCAAACTTCCATTTATCTGACATTCTATTTAGATATGTGTGGTCAAAGTTTAAAATATTTATTTCATGATTACAACTTTTAGGCCTATAACTTTATATTTATATATTGAATAAATAGTTTTACCAAAACTGTAATACATGCTCTATAATAATATTAATGTTATAAAACTATTATTCAATATATTCAACTTTAATACATGTTTTATAATATTATTAAAGTTATAAAACATATATCTGGTCAAAGTTTAATGAGTATATGTTTTAAGTTTTAACCAATGATTATAATAAATGTGTTGCACTATTTACAATTTAATTGGTTTCATATCAAAAAACAAAAATCAGAGTATATTTAGCTGATAAATCCATCTCAAACTCTCTTTTTCAAAGAGATTAAGTCTCTATTTCTATTTTCTGTATATGTAAATCCTTAATTAAGAATTTAGAATCAATAAACATATTGTAACGTCTCAATATTCATCATCGGTAGTTCTTCACGTTCGCTCTCGTATGATAAACTTTCCACATCTACTTTTGGCATGTGTACTCCATTCTTTTTTCATCATTGGTTCGCAAAACTAAAATAATTTTACATCACCATAAAAAAAATTATGTATTTTATATTCACTTACATAATTTGATCACCATAACCACTTCCTCTTCATCAAACTCACCGTTCAATTCATACCAAAAAAAAAAAAAAAACGGACCGTTCAATCTCCTGTCCACTACATCTCTAATGTCTCGGCTTTGCCACTTTGACCAATCCCAATCAACCATTACAAGCTCTTCCGGTGATGCATTTGTTTCCATCGGTCTTCTCCCGCAAGCTGTTTCCAATAAAACCGCTCCAAACGCGTAAACATCAGTGCTTGTTGTCAACTTTCCGGATTTTGTGAGTTCGGGTGCTTAAGTACCCAAATGTACCAACCACTCTTGTAGTTCCCGGGTTCGATCCGTGCTCATATAACTTAGCAAGACCAAAATCTCCCACCCGCCCGTCTAGCAAAACATTTGCGGCTTTAATATCGCGGTGAATAACCGTTTGTTCCCAGCCTTCGTGTAGGTAGAGTATACAGGAAGCAACCCCTTTGATAATTTTGAATCTTTGGTACCAAGTCAAGATAACTCTAGGGTTTTCGGCGAATAAGTACATTAGGCATGAAGTCATAGACGAGAAGCAAATCCTCTCGCCTTCGACACCAACCTAGCAACTGAACAAGATTCATATGCCGTAGATGACCAATATTTGAGAGTTGAGACCTCAGACATGAATTCTTGTACACCTTGTCTTGACTCATGAGAGATTCTCTTGACGGCTACAAGTTCGTTTGAATCCGGAGACTTTCCTTTGTACACTTTCACAAATCCACCAAACCGGAGAAGCTCATTGTCCGCAAAACCATTCGTAGCTTTCTTGAGCTCTTTGTAAGAGAATCTATGCGGACCAAAATCAAGCTCCCATTCTTTAACTTTATCTTCATCTTTCGCCTTTTTCACACGAAACATCGCTGATATTTTATTGCATTGTTTTGGCTGTATAATCACGAAAACATCCATTGATATTTGGTCAATTCTTCTTTTGTAGTGTTTTTATGATGTGTACAACGCATTACCCATACGACTTGTAAGCCGCAACAAAGTTTTTAAAATAGATATACATAATACACGTAAATATGATCACTTCCGGAGAAGCCCAGTTCCCGTGGTTGTAACTCACTAGGAGTAGCTGGCTGGGAACTGTGAACCGGGTTATGTGTGACCGGTCTGTTGAAGGATCCACTTCTTCTTGGCTCCTCCCGGTCCCTTCTATGGTAATTTCTCTCTGATCCTCTGTCGTGAGGTTCGCGGCTTGACCAAGACTGTTTCCCATTGTGATCTTTTCCATAAGGATTCCTAGATGGAGAGTTGCGGTAGTCTCCTCTTGCTGTAGAAGTCCTCTTATGGGAGAGTGAAGGATGTTGGTCCAAATGTCTTCTCTCATATAGCCACTTTTTCTCTGCTTCCATACGATTTTAGACTCTCGTCTGGCTAATTCCCAATTGGCTCAAGTCCCTAACTCCTGTTTTGGTAAGGTGACAATCTTTCTCATCATGAGACAAGGAGAAGTATGAGAAACAATGCTTTTCAAGTTTTTCATATTCAAATTCCACTGTTGTAAGCTCCTCATTTAGTAGGATGATGTCCATGCGCATTGTGAGAGGTTCCAGACCGTTGATTTGTACTCTAACCCTATCTCGACATCATCACGCCCTTTGATGATCCCAAGGTCTTCTCCAATTGGTGTGATGGCTCGAGCCGACGAGTAGTGGATAGGTAAGCCACATATCTTG